CAGTCCTACACCTCTACACACCGACACAGTCCTACACCCTTACACTCCAACACAGTCCTACACCTCTTACACACCCGACACAGTCCCACACCTCTTACACTCCAACACAGTCCTACACCCCTAACTTACCAACACAGTCCCACACCTCCACACCAACACAGTCCTACACCTCTTACATGCCAACACAGTCCTACACCTCTACACACCAACACAGTCCTACACCTCTTGCACACCAACACAGTCCTACACCTCTTACACGACAACACAGTTCTGCACCTCTTACACGCCAACACAGTCCCACACCCTTACACGCCAACTCAGTCTACACCTCTTGCAAACACAGTCCCCCCCATCCCCTCTTACACACCAACACAGTCTACACCTCTTACACCCAACACAGTCCTCACTCCCAACACAGTCCTTACCTCTTACACACCAACACAGTCCCACTCTTAACACACCACACCTCTTACACCAACACAGTCACACCTCTTACACGCCAACACAGTCTACACCTCTTATCATCACAACCCACACACCAACACAGTCCTACACCTCTTACACGCCAACACAGTCCTACACCTGTTATACACCAACACATTCCTACACCTCTTATACACCCACACAGTCCCACCTCTTATACACCAACACACCACACCTCTTACACCAACACAGTCCTACACCTCTTGCACCAACACAGTCCTACACCTCTTACACTCCAACAGTCCTACACCTCTTACTCCAACACAGTCCTACACACACACCCACACCTTATCACCGTCCTCACCCTTACACACCCTACACCTCTACACCAACACAGTCCTACACCTCTTATACACCAACACAGTCTACACCTCTTACACACCAACACAGTCTACACCTCTTGCACGCCAACACAGTCCTACACCTCTTACACTCCAACACAGTCCTCACCTCTTACACTCCAACAGTCCCTACCTCTTATCACAACACAGTCCTACACCTCTTACACCAACACAGTCCTACACCTCTTACACGCCAACACAGTCCTACACATCTTATACATCCACACAGACCTACACCTCTTACACACCAACACAGTCCTACACCTCTTACACGACAACACAGTCCTCACACCTCTTACACTCCAACACAGTCCCTACACCTCTTACACTCCAAAACAGTCCCTACACCTCTTGCATGCCATCAGAGAGTCCTACACCTCTTACACACCAACACAGTCCTACACCTCTTACACGACAACACAGTCCTACACCTCTTACACACCAACACAGACCTACACCTCTTACACACCAACACAGTCCTGCACCTCTTACACGTCAACACAGTCCTACACCTCTTACACACCAACACAGTCCTACACCTCTTACACGCCAATACAGTCCTACACCTCTTACACGCCAACACAGTCCTACACCTCTTACACACCAACACAGACCTACACCACTTACACGCCAACACAGTCCTACACCTCTTACACGCCAACACAGTCCTACACCTCTTACACACCAACACAGACCTACACCTCTTATACACCAACACAGTCTTACACCTCATGTCAACACAGTCCTACACCCTCTTACACACCAACACAGTCCCACACCCTCTACACGACAACACAGTCCTACACCTCTTACACACCAACACAGTCCTACACCTCTTACACTCCAACACAGTCCTACACCTCTTACACTCCAACACAGTCCTACACCTCTTACACACCAACACAGTCCTACACCTCTTACACACCAACACAGTCCTACACCTCTTACACACCAACACAGTCCTACACCTCTTACACTCCAACACAGTCCTACACCTCTTACACACCGACACAGTCCTACACCTCTTACACGTCAACACATTTCTACACCTCTTACACACCAACACAGTCCTACACCTCTTACACACCGACACAGTCCTACGCCTCTTACACTCCAACACAGTCCTATACCTCTTACACACCGACACAGTCCTACACCTCTTACACTCCAACACAGTCCTACACCTGTTACTTACCAACACAGTCCTACACCTCTTACACACCAACACAGTCCTACACCTCTTACACGACAACACAGTTCTACACCTCTTACACGCCAACACAGTCCTACACCTCTTACACGCCAACTCAGTCCTACACCTCTTGCACGCCAACACAGTCCTACACCTCTTACACTCCAACACAGTCCTTCACCTCTTACACACCAACACAGTCCTACACCTCTTACACACCAACACAGTCCTACACCTCTTACACGCCAACACAGTCCTACACCTCTTATACATCAACACAGACCTACACCTCTTACACACCAACACAGTCCTACACCTCTTACACGCCAACACAGTCCTACACCTGTTATACACCAACACATTCCTACACCTCTATACACCAACACAGTCCTACACCTCTTATACACCAACACAGACCTACACCTCTTACACACCAACACAGTCCTACACCTCTTACACACCAACACAGTCCTACACCTCTTACACACCAACACAGTCCTACACCTCTTACACACCAACACAGTCCTACACCTCTTACACACCAACACAGTCCTACACCTCTTGCACACCAACACAGTCCTACACCTCTTACACTCCAACACAGTCCTACACCTCTTACACTCCAACACAGTCCTACACCTCTTACACTCCAACACAGTCCTACACCTCTTACACACCAACACAGTCCTACACCTCTTACACTCCAACACAGTCCTCCTACACACCGACACAGTCCCACACCCTAACACGTCAACACATTCCTACACCTCTTACACACCAACACAGTCCTACACCTCTTACACACCGACACAGTCCTACACCTCTACACTCCAACACAGTCCTACATCTCTTACACACCGACACAGTCCTACACCTCTTACACTCCAACACAGTCCTGCACACCTCTTACTTACCAACACAGTCCTACACCTCTTACACACCAACACAGTCCTACACCTCTTACACAACAACACAGTTCTACACCTCTTACACGCCAACACAGTCCTACACACTCTTGCACGCCAACTCAGTCCTACACCTCTTGCACGCCAACACAGTTCTACACCTCTTACACTCCAACACAGTCCTTCACCTCTTACACACCAACACAGTCCTACACCTCTTACACGCCAACTCAGTCCTACACCTCTTGCACGCCAACACAGTCCTACACCTCTTACACTCCAACAGAGTCCTTCACCCCTTACACACCAACACAGTCCTACATCTCTTACACGCCAACTCAGTCCTACACCTCTTGCACGCCAACACAGTCCTACACCTCTTACACTCCAACACAGTCCTTCACCTCTTACACGCCAACACAGTCCTACACCTGTTATACACCAACACATTCCTACACCTCTTACACACCAACACAGTCCTACACCTCTTATACACCAACACAGTCCTACACCTCTTTCACGTCAACACAGTCCTACACCTCTTACACTCCAACACAGTCGCACACTTCTTACACGCCATCACACGCTTCTAAACTCGTATTGTTTACTCTCCTTTTGTCTCAGCACAACATTAATAAAACCAATCTCAACAGAAACTCGGGAACATATTGAGTTCACTAACTCCATCATACGGGTCAACAAGCAAAAAAGAGTCACGAGTGTCGAATGTCTGATATGCTTAGAATTGTAACTTGCATCATCTTGACTACTGTATTTGTACAGTATATATGATGATCATTACCTTCACAATAACATAACATCACTAACGATAATGCAATGCCGGGCGACCCAATTTTTAACTGAATTATGCCATCTTGGTTTTCCTAATAGGTCGAGGGCGCTTAGACTCACAACTCTCCAGACAAGATATGACATAGTGATCTTCATGAGGCAACCATAACCTTGAGAGGTATGGAAAACGTTAACTCAGATCTTTCAAGCAAAAGAGGACGTAACTTATAGCTAACAATATTAGGGTTGATTTTGTTTTTCTACTTATCATTTCACCATTTATAAGCTTACTAGCCGTTCGGACGGTTGGTCTCTCCGGTTTAGAACAGAAGGAAACTGAAGGAAAACCTGTGATATTTGGATGTGAGGGTAACAATGGATAACACCATTTTCACGTGTCTGGGCCAAATAGGACTAGATACGCGCGTTATCACCAACACCCCCATATACTGTGGACCCACAGAACAGTCTACCAGCTGAACTCATGGTGATAATAAATATAGCCCTAAATATAATTATCAAGAACAATGGAGGGGGGTCGTACATAGGTCATCTGCCTCCTATCGATTTGGCCACCGCTCGTCATTAGTCAGATTAGATAGACGGTAGACAGTAAGCAGGGAGGGAGCATGGATACAGTTTAAACTCGTACAAGTTCTATGGTCAGAATAAAGCATCTAAAGGTTATATTGGGCATCCTTGATCAAATTACCTTACTGTTTATTAATGTATACCCGCTCTGTCTGGGTAAAATGAAAATTATATACCTACACGTTCTATGTATAGTATACTGTATACTAGCGTTGTCTACATAAAGGTTAAATTGTATACGCGCATTGTCTATAATGCGCGTTTACATTTTAACATTTATATCGACAATGCGGGTACACAGTTTAGCATGTATATAGACTCTATATGCATGCTAAACTGTGTACCAGCATTGTATATATACTGTACATGCCAATCTAAAGCTAAATTTGCTTGAAGACTTTATGAATAAATATCTTTCTATCTATATACCTGTCTATCAAGGTCCAGGTATATCTTTGCTCTCCTATATCATGTAGGAGTCCAGATATGTATTCGAAAGATAAGTAGTGCCTTGTAGTGTGGCCGCTGAGATCAGTATTACGTACTGAACATCAGGATCGGCTCTACTGTAGGTTGGATAATATAATACAGTATCATTCGTTCACCCTTGATCACAATATATAAGATTTTATGATCAGTCCGCCATGTTCTCCTAGTCAGCGTACAGTAATTAATTCGTATCTAAAAGGAACTTACTTGATCGGGATAACGTTCTTTTTTCTGCCGAAGTCGGTAGTCACGACGAAGCCTTCTATTGCTATAAAGATGAATTGGGCGAAAGTAAGCAGACTCCCACACGCTGGCTCCTCCCTGTGATAAACAAAGAAACATGGCCTTAATTTTGAGTACTACTACTACTACTAATACTAATACTTTATTTTTTTTAAATGGCCTCCAGCATCCTTCACCGCCATTTTATTACCTCAAAATTAAATATCCTCACACAAAAGTAACTACCCTAGCGGTGTTGAGTTAGCTGAGCCACAGATCTATGAGGCATTCAATGACTGTTGACTCATAGTCAATATCAGCGACCGTTGTCGGCTTTGTGGCGGAAGAACTCATTCCCCTGAGGTAGAGCAATGCAGACCTAAGCAGAGAAAAGGACAGTCGAGATCTCAACCAGGCTGTTGCGTAACTTCTGGGCTGCTGCTTCCGTTCAGATAACACCTCCTCGAGTCTGGCATAAAAACATCTTGTACTTCGTCCCATCACACCAGAGGTTGTGAACACCAGAGGAGTAAAGCTGCCCTGATCAACACTCAGAATTCTCTCCCCATATGCCCTGATCTTGTCATTCTCGTTCCTCCTGTGTGCAGCGTCGAGATCTAGGTTACGGTGACACGCGGCCATGGGATCAAAAATCCTTAGTCAAAGAAGGCTCGCTGTCCCCGCGTCCAAAATCCCTGAGCACTGACGTCCACACGTGTTTAGTTGGAGGGGTTTGAAGTCCTGTGATGGAAATTCTCACCGTCCAATGGAAGGAGGGTTGGTTCAACTTTGACATCGTGTCAAATTTCCTTCAACATATTTGCTGTGACATCCCTTACTTCGTCATGCCTCATGCATACGAAGCCCCCTTTCTGGCACACCATGGCGTGGTCGATGTCATAGGAAGAGCCACACACGTATTAGGAGCGCAAACCTTCTACTGGCCTATCGTACCTTAGAGCAATGGCATCTGTGAATTCTTGTTTAATAAGACTGAAAATTTTTGCCCTTATTTGTAACGTTGTTCGCCAGTTCGAGGCGCCCACCTCCTGCGCTATAGCTACTTTTTTTTCAAGTTCTCTGGCACTTGCAGCATCAGATGTTGCAGTTTATCACTTCGGGTGTGCTGTCGATCTGTCGTAATGAACCGTCGAATCTTGTTTAAGTCCATAGTATCAACCTTACTTGTTGCATTCTGAGCTATTATATGCTCAGTGAGGGCTGCCGTGAGTCCTGATGTTCGTTGGCAACAAGCTCTTCTGGATTGGTCAATCCCATTCCTCGCAGTCTCGGTGGTAGTGCAAGGATTGACCTTTCTGCTGGGGTAAGTGAAGGTGTTTCACTAATTTTGAAATAAAATTGACGCTGTTGGCTTCTTCCAGAGGGTAGAGGAGGGGTCCGATATCAGGGATTGACCTTTCTGCTGGGGTTAAGTGAAGGTGTTTCACTAATTTTGGAATAAAATTGACGCTGATGGCTTCTTCCAGAGGGTAGAGGAGGGGTCCGATATCAGGGAATGTGCACATCAGGTAATTCCAGCGATGCTTGACTCCCTGGGTAAATGCCGCAAAATCCCCATGTGGTTCTGTTTTAGCAATATCAGACAGAGCATGGTCTTGTAGTCCTTCGTGCAGATTACTGCACCTAGGTGTCTTTGGCCCTCCTTTGTTATTTTTACCACACTTCCGCCGAACACCTCCATTGCCTGTTCATAGTGTTCTGGCTTCACAATGAGGAAGGACTTGCTGGTATTTGGGTGGTACCCTATTTGTGGACCACGTGATGTTATCAGGTCTCACCACTTTTTGATGTTCTCCTTTTTTCCTGCTCCTGTAAGGTCGTCAGCATAAGCCACTTGTCTGGCCTAGTGCGTACATTGCCATGGTAACAGGGTCCCCTGCTGTTCCCTCAGTTGACTGTATGGTGGTATCTCTTCTTCGAGACTTGAAGCTTGTTATATAGAGGTCTCATTGGTCTGAGAGTTATTTTCAATATACATTGCAAAGCTTGAACACTTGATCTTGATGTTGTTCAGTTTAGCTTTACGGTTGATTATGTTGAATGCGTTGGAAGCGTCAACCAGGAGTACTGCCTCACAATCGCGCTGCTCCAATATCTTTCTCATGGCGTGAATGGCAGCTTCCCCCATCCTGGTGGCCAGCACATACTTGTAGGTTTCCTGCAAACTGCCCTGACATCATCAATTACCACCTCTATTATGCATTTTCCAATGATCCATCTCAACACTTCCCCCACCACTATAGGCCTACATCCTGGATTTTTATCCAGGGGAATGAGGCGGCAGGCCGTCAGAGCATGGAGGTGGTGGCAGCACGAGGTTGTTAGCTTTTTTGCAGGGGCGTCGATGTCATTGCAGAGATCACTTGCTGCGGCACCAAACTTGTTAGTGCTGAGGATGACTCTCCAACCGTCTGCATCCAGATCTGAAGGGCCTGCCCCTCCCTGTGTCTTTAGTGTTTTTTCCACACCATCCCTCTTGCTATTTTCTAGAACATGAGAGCGATTGGAGGGATATAGGCACCCTGGAACTTGATGCCTTCCTCTTTACTTGTAGAGGGATGTTTTTCCTTCAGTTGTTGTAAGGTCTCTCTGTTTATTGGCAGCACACAACCGGAAGCTTCCTCTGTAAGAGAACTTACTGCCAAGAACACTTTCTCTCACTCATCTTGTCACCAAACTTTCTGGCTACATCCTAGGTGTTTTTCTTTCCGTCTCCTATGAATTTAGTCTCCCCTGCAGTGTTCTTGTCTCACGTAGGAGGTCAAGGGCCCCTTTCTGCCACATAGTAAATCTTACTTCATTGCTGCAAAATTTTCTTTGTACCTAGACCTTGCGTGTGTCCTCTGACAGAATAGATGGGGCATTATGACCAGTATTTGAAGAGCTAAAGAGGCTAGGAAGCTGTCCTGAGTGTGATCGGTTATGAGGCGAGTCATCTCCCGAATCATTTCTTTGGTGGCCGCACACTTGGGAGGTTCAAAGAGGTTAGCTAGACACTACCTGACAACTTCTGAGTTAGTTTCTTTAATCCATATATCCGCATTTTCCTTCGACTACTACTACTACAACTACAACTACTTTTTTTCTAATTGTGGCCTCCAGCCTCACCCAATAGCCACACTTTCGCCGTCATTTTATTACCATAAAATTAACTATCCTAATACAGAAGTAGCAACCCTGGCTGTGTTGAGTTAGTTGAGCCGCAGATCTATGCAGCATTCAGTAACTGTTGCTTCAAAGTCGATATCTGCGACTGGTGTCGGCTTTGGGGCCGATGCTCTGGTTCCCCTGAGACAAAGGAATGCAGACCTAAGCAGAGAGGACAGTCGACATCTCAACCAGGCTGTAACATAACTTCTGGGCAGCTGTTTCCGTTCAGATAACACCTCCGCGAGGCTGGCGTAGAGGCATCTTGCACTTGGTCCCATCACGCCAGAGGTTGTGAACACCAGAGGAGTGAAGCTGCCTTGATCAACGTGAATTCTCTCCCCATATGCCCTAATCTTGTCTTTCTCGTTCCTCCTGTGTGCAGCATCGAGAGCTAGGTTGCGGTGACACGCGGCCATGGGATAAAAAATCCTTATGTCGAAAAAGGCTCGCGTCCAGACTCCTCGACCATACTGACGTCCACACGGGCTTCGTTGGAGGTGAAGAAGTCCTGTGAAGTCCTACTACTACTACGACTACTACTACTACTACGACTTTTTTTTTTAAACGTGGCCTCCAGCCTTCCCCAATAATCACACCTTCACCGCCATTTTATTACCTTAAGATTAAATATCCTAATACACAAGTAGCTATCCTAGCTGTGTTGAGTTAGTTGAGCCGCAGATCTATGAGGCATTCAGTGACTGTTGCCTCATAGTCAATATCTGCAACTGCTGCAGCCATGGGAAAAAAAATCCTGATGTCGAAGAAGGCTCGCTGTCCCTGCGTCCAGAATCCTCGAGCACTGACGTCAACACGGGCTTCGTTGGATGTGTTTAAAGTCCTATGTTGGAAATTTTCACCGCCCAATGGAAGGAGTGTCAGTTCTATCCTGACCTCACGACAGATTTCCTTCAACATATTTGCTGTGAGATCCCTTAATTCGTCATGCCTCATGCATATGAAGCCCCCTTTCTTGCACACCATGGCATGATCGACGTCATAGGAAGAGCCACACACGCACTGGGAGAGTAAACCTTTCACTGGCCTACCGTACCTTAGAGCAATGGCATCTGTAAATTCTTGTTTATTGAGACAGAAACCATTTGCCCTTATCGGTAACGTAGTTAACCAGTTCGAGGCGCCCACCTCCTGCGCTATAGGTAGTTTTTTTCAAATTCTCTGGTACTTGCAGCATCAGTTGCTGCAATTTATCACTTTGGCCGTGCTGTCGTTCTGTCATAATTGACCATCGAATCTTGTTTACTTCACTGGTATCCACCTCACCTGTTGCGTTCTGAGCTACTATGTGGTCAGTGATGGCTGCCCTGAGCTTCAATGAGTTTTGATGTTCGGTGGCAGCTATCTCCTCTGGATTGCTCAATCCCATTCCTCCCAGTTTCGGTGGTAGTGCAAGGACTGATCTTTCTGCTGAGGTTAAGTGAAGGTGTTTCACTATTTTGGGAATGAAATTGACGCTGATAGCGACACTTGACTCCATGGGTGAATACCACAAAAGCCGCATGTGGTTCTGTGTTAGCAATATCAGACAGTGCTTGGATTTCCCTAGCTCACTCATTCACCTTTCCCGTTACGTACTCGGTCTTGAAGTCCGTCGAGCAAATTACTGCGCCGAGGTGTCTATGGCCATCCTTTGTTAGTATGACCGCACTTCCACCGAACACATCCATTGCCCGTTCATAATGTTCTGGCTTCACAATGAGGAAGGACTTGCTGGTGTTTGGGTGGTTCCCTATTTGTAGGCCTCGTAATGTTACCAAGTCCCACCACATTTTGATGTCCTCCACTTTTCCTGCTCCTGTAAGGTTATCAGCGTAAGCCACTTGCTTGACGTCAGTTGTTTCAAATTTGTATTGTGTGTTAGAGCATGGATAGGCCTATGGCGTACATTGCCATTGCAACAGGGTCCCCCTGCATTGTTCCCTCTGTTGACTGTATGATGGTA